AATAAAAACTCTTTTTAATAAATAATTATTTTTTCTATATTGAACTAAAAATAAGAGTTTTATATATAATATGATTGATATTATTAGGTAATTTTGCAATTAATAAATATTTTTTATTTTAATAATTCTCGTCTAATTAGATTTACTTTTATTAAAAAAAAACTCATAATAAATAGATAAATAGGTAATTTGTGTTAGAGTTTTATAAAAACTCTTTTAAAACCTCTTTTTATATCAATTAATAAATAATTTTAATATTACTAATACTTATCTAATTAGATTTTCTTTTATTAAAAAACTCATAATAAATAGATAATTTGTGTTAGAGTTTTATAGAAACTCTTCAAATATATCTTTGTCTAGTATGATAGAGCTTTATTGAAAATAAAATAGGTAATTTTGATAGAGTTTTATAGAAATTATTTTATTTTCTTTAAATATATCATTGTCGAATTAGATTTAATTTTATTAATAAACCCATAATAAAAGTTAATTTGTGGTAGAGTTTTACAAAAATTATTTTGTTTTATATATCAATTAATAAATATTTTTTATATTAATAATTATTGTCTAATTAGATTTTTTTTATTAAAAAATTCATAACAATAAATAGATAAATAGGTTAATTTAAATTTTATTATTTAAACTTTAATTTTTTAGATATTTTTTTATACAAATAAATAAATACTTAAATACTGAAACTCTTTGCACTCTAATAATAGTATAGATAAAAGCTCTTTTTATATCAATTAATAAATATTTTTTTATATAAATAAATAAATACTGAAATACTGAAACTTTATGGCAGAGTTTCTGTATTTTACTCTAAAATTCTAGATTTCTAGAATTTTCAATTTCTATCCTCCTTCCTCTATGCCTCTATTTATAGGCTTTTTGGATTAGTACAATGATGACATGTGTGATAATTACATAATCATAACTGCCCGGCCGCTTATATTGTGATAATTATTTATAAAAAATAACTATTCTTTTTATACTAAACTAAAAATTAGAGTTTTATAGAAACTATTTTTATAAAAACTATTTTTATATCAATAAATAAATATTTTTTTTATAGAAATAAATAAATACTAAAATACGTTGCATTGTTTTATTATGTAATTTTTAATTAATAAATATTTTTTATTTTAATAATTCTTGTCTAATTAGATTTACTTTTATTATAAAACTCTTAATAAATAGATAAATAAGTAATTTGTGTTAGAGTTTTATAAAAACTCTTTCAAAATGTCTTTTTATATCAATTAATAAATAATTTTTTATATTAATAATACTTGTCTAATTAGATTTCCTTTTATTAAAAAACTCATAATAAATAGATAAATAAGTAATTTATGTTAGAGTTTTATATAAACTCTTTAAATATATCTTTATCTAGTGTGATAGAGTTTTATTGAAAATAAAATAGGTAATTTGTGATAGAGTTTTATATAAATTATTTTATTTTCTTTAAATATATCCTTGTCTAATTAGATTTAATTTTATTAAGAAACTCATAATAAATGCTAATTTGTGCTATAGTTTTAGAAAAATTATTTTGTTTTATATATCAATTAATAAATATTTTATATATTAGTAATTCTTGTCTAATTAGATTTTCTTTTATTAAAAATTTCATAATAATAAATAGATAAATAGGTTAATTTAAATTTTATTATGTAGATTTTAGTGTTTTAATTATTATTTTTATATAAATAAATAAATACTTAAATATCGAAACTCTTTGCACATCTAATAATAGTATAGATAAAAACTCTTTTTATATCAATTAATAAATATTATATATATATAAATAAATAAATACTAAAATACTGAAACTCTTTGGCAGAGTTTTATGTATTTTACTCTGAAATTATGAATTTCTAGAATTCCCAATTTTTGTACACTTCCTCCTTCCTCCATGCCTCTATTTATAAGTTTCTTGAATTAATAATAATTACATAATCATAACTGGGCCGGGCCGGTTATATTGTTATAATTATCCATAAAAAATAACTATTCTTTTTATATTGAACTAAAAATTAGAGTTTTATATAGAATGTGATTGATTTTATTAGGTAATTTTTAGAGTTTTATAGAAACTATGTTTACAAAAACTATTTTTATATCAATTAATAAATATTTTTTTATATAAATAAAGAAATACTGAAATACTGAAACACTCTACATGATTTTATTAGGTAATTTTCAATTAATAGATATTTTTTATTTTAATAATTACTGTCTAATTAGATTTACTTTTATTAAAAAAACTCATAATAAATAGATAAATAGGTAATTTGTATTTAAATATTGAAACTCTTTGCACATCTAATAATAGTATAGATAAAAAAAAATTTATATCAATTAATAAATATTTTTTTATATAAATAAATAAATACTAAAATACTGAAATCTTTGGCAGTGTTTTTGTATTTTACTCTGGAATTCTGAATTTCTGTACCATTTCCTCCTTCATCTGTGCCTCTATTTATAAGATTCTTGGATTAATAGGATGATGACATGTGTCATTTTTTTTTATAATTACATAATCATAACTGGACCGAGCCGGTTATATTGTGATAATTATCTATAAAAAATAACTATTCTTTTTATATTGAACTAAAAATTAGAGTTTTATATAGAATGTGATTGATTTTATTAGGTAATTTTTAGAGTTTTATAGAAACTATTTTTACAAAAACTATTTTTATATCAATTAATAAATATTTTTTTATATAAATAAATAAATACTGAAACACTTTGCATAATTTTATTAGGTAATTTTCAATTAATAAATATGTTTGATTTTAATAATTCTTGTCTAATTAGATTTATTTTTATTAAAAAACTCATAATAAATAGATAAATAGGTAATTTGTGTTAGAGTTTTATAGAAACTTTTTTAACCTCTTTTTATATCAATTAATAAATAATTTTTTATATTAACAATATTTGTTTAATTAGATTTCCTTTTATTAAAAAAACTCATAATAGATAGATAAATAGATAATTTGTTTTAGAGTTTTATAAAAACTATTTAAATATATCTTTGTTTAGTGTAATATAGTTTTATTGAAGATAGAATAGGTAATTTGTGATAGAGTTTTATAAAAATTATTTTATTTTTTTTAAATATATATATCCTTGTCTAATTAGATTTAATTTTACTAAGAAACTCATAATAAAAGCTAATTTATGGTAGAGTTTTAGAATAATTATTTTGTTTTATATATCAATTAATAAATATTTTATATTAATAATTCTTGTCTAATTAGATTTCTTTTATTAAAAAAATTCGTAATAATAAATAGATAAATAGGTTAATTTATGGACCATTTTTTAATTTTATTAGTTAATTTTGAGTTTTATAGAATTTATATCGTGGGATATAATAATTAATGAGAACTCTTTATTGTGAATTAAATTCTTCTTATATTTTGTTAATTTGAATTTTTTTAGGTAATTTTGAGTTTATGGAATTTATATCAATTAATAAATAAATACTAAAACTCTTTGCACAAAGGCCGAGAAAAGTAGTACTACACTTGATCTTAGCCAAAAGACCAAGAAAGGTTAACCAAAAGGCCGACCCAACCAAAAGGCCAACCCAAAAAAATTTAGTACTACACTTGATCTTAGCCTAAAGGCTGAGAAGGTGTGATTATTATTTCTTTAGCTTTATAGTTTTATAAGAGGTCTTCATGTAATCCTTTTTATTTAAAACCAATGTGGGACTTTGTAATTTGAATTAAACTCTTTTTATATTTTGTTAGTTTGAATTAATTTTAATTTTATTAGGTAATTTGGAGTGTTATAGAATTTATATCAATTAATAAATAAATACTGAAATATTGAACTACTGAAACAGCACATTTAATAATAGTATAGATATAGACACACACAATATATATATATATATATATATATATATATATATATATATATAATTTATTTTTTCTTTTTTGAAGGCTACCCATTCCGCTATTAAAGTGATTTACAGTCATAAATAAGAACAAAAATGGAATATTTTTGCTGCCATCTTTCTCTTTCCTTTTCTTTTTTCATCTCTTTCAATTTCTACCTTATAGTCAAAGAAAAAAAAAATTCTACCATATAGATTGGGTTAAATTTGTATAGCCAGATTTTCAGTATGCCAATTAATTGTTGCTGCATCATTAGCAATTTCACTCCATTACTTTAATTATGATTTTTTTTTTTTTTTTTCCCTTCTTTGTACATTCCAATTCAACTCTTTACTATTATTTATGGTTTATTAAAGATATAATTGTCAAGTTAAATTATGTTAATAGTTAAAAGAGCTTCAAAAAATTTACCCATCAAACAACTTTTTTGTTTTAAATTCATTTTATCAAAATGCATTCTTCAAAGCCGATTCAGTGGAAGGAATTTTAGAAAGTGAAAGCTGCCCCGAACTGGGCCTAAAACTTTTTAAATAATATTATGAATAAATGTTCTATATTTTAAATAACTATATGCTCTTCTTTAATAAAGTTGCTATTATTAAATATTATAATATTATATTAAAAGATATTATTATAAAATTAACAATACAATACAAGTATTTTCAAAAATATTGTTACGGAACAAATTTTAAATAATTTAATTATAAAAATACTTATATAATATATCATCAAAAACCTAACATATTTTTTATGTAACATTTTTTCTATTATAACAACCGCGCCAAAATGGCTTTATATCGGTAAGAGAATTGTAATAAATTATTGTTTTTTTTTTTTTTTTTCCCATCATACTTTTGAATATAATAACAACAATATCCAAATTTTTTTTTTTTGTCTAAACTAAAATAACTTTATTCCAAAACCATATAAAGCCTACACAAAATGGCCGAAAATTAGCAAATTCCTGCAGCTAAAATCCAGCCTCAGAGCTGGTAATCTTCTAAGCCTGGCCCATTGACAAGCCGAATCCTGCTGAGCTCGGACCTAGGCCACCTAAAAAATTGTAGCGATCCATTAAAGTGAGAGTACTTTTATTTAACTAACTAGACACCGATGACTGTAACATCATTACAAGAAAGTGTGAAAGTGTTTCTTCGGGATGTGAGATAGGCGCTTTCAGACATTTCATGCAAATTGAACTGATCAGGAATTGCACAAGAACAATAAGAAAAAGTAACTCACAACACCTTACGCAATTTTGCATACATGAATTGCCTCGTTGCATCTCTGCAGCAAAAACCCTAAACACAAAGGCCGCATTACGCCATTTGAATGCCACTCACTTTCTCAAACATCATGGTTTTGACAACATTCTTTACGAAGACATAAAAGCATTCTCTGCAAGAACTAGGCATTAAAGTGGACATTCGAAGCTGCTGATCTTGTTTGTCATGGCAGCATACGGAACTCGGGAAAGAGCGGACACCAGGCTTTGGGCGCTCCAAACCACATGCGGCCAAGATGGAATGGGTGGCAAGCCTCGCGACTTCCTTGAATGCATTCACTTCTGCAGAGAAAAATCAATGAATTTTCGTTATTCAGCATTCCCACACGATAAATTGAAGTAAAACAGCTTCAAGCCAATCATAATAATTAAAGGGGCATCTCAAACGGGGCCATCTACAGTTTCTGCAGATCTAAATAAAACTAGAATGTTATCCATGACATTAAATTTCACCATATTTTCTTTCTTGGGGTGGACAAGATCCAGGATATGATTTCCAGGTGTTCATATGTCGCATTATGCAGATTATGACAATATTAACATTCAAATTTTGTTTTTCTTTTCATAATTCAACAAAAATGATCAAGGATATAATTATCAAATTTATTTACTATTATTTATTTATGCTACCGAATATGAAGTTTACTTGCCAGCACTCAGAATCTTTAAATGTTAGCGTATCCCATTTCCATAAATCATTTATGATAAATGGTAAATTGCCCAGGATTTCTATACTTATCTCACCATTGCAGGGACCTTCACTCGGATTCGCAAAGTCCTAAAGAAGCAGATTTGGGTCGTTGAACTCAAACCAATAAAAAAAAAAATTTGAAGTATACACTTCGGGGAAATCATAATTGCCTATAAAAACATAAGGAAGCTAGAACCTTTCCTTTACCATGTTCCCATAACCTAAGAATTGTAGTGGTAATCACTTCACAGAGACTATTTATGAAAGACACAAGCTCAAACAAAATGTGCATACCTAACTTTTTATCTCCACTCAGAAGCTTTAGATTGAGCTTGACAAGAGATTGAATCTCAGTCTTCACATTGTCATCTCTTTTAGCCTGGCTTTTGGCACTTTGTCGTTCTGTCTTAGATTTACCTTCAGGAGTTTCTATCTTGCAGGAGGAAGAGGCATCCGATGTACCACAAGTAAAATTTGAAGCTATCTGCACTGACCCAACGGCAGATCCATTATGCTTTTTAAGAACATCCGATGAGGCTCCAAGTGAATACTCCTGTGATTGTTTCCCGCCATTTCCATAGCAAATGTCAAATTGAGCTGAAGTCTGGGCCATCCTAGCAGACGGCAATTCATACACTTGTGAATTAGATGGAAAACCCGCACCGAATTTTAAATTTGTCACCATAGTAACAGTCCTCTGCTTTTGTTTTTCAAACATCGGAGATTTATGCAAATCGTTTACCTTTTCCAGAGAATTATACTGGTAATGGTTTTTATATCCATTGATTTTAAGATTCGTAGCCACAGGTCGTTTCCCATTCGCCATGAGAAGACATGGATTCACGTTAGCTTTTCCTTTTGGAACATTTACTTTGCTTGAATGATGTTTTGAAGCCTGATGCATGAAGCTGGCCCTTCCACGCCCCTTTTCTATTGACTTTGCAGCATCCATCATTTTCCATGCTTTTTCTATATCGTATGAGCCTCTATTCTGCGAAATATTACAGGAAGCATCATTATGAGCTGTCAATTGCTGACCCTTGCAAGAACTGCAATTAGGTTGACTTAATTTGTCATGATTAGTGCAACTGTAACAGAAGCTCAAGGCCCCATTTCGGAAGCCGTTCCAATTTTCACGTAATGCTCGTATGCTATGATGCACGTTGCGATAACGCTGCAACGTTCTCGCAGCCAAGGCAGTCGCGTTAGATGCAACAGCAGGAGTTCTTGAATCCCCCTCGGACGCGTTAGATGCAACAGCAGGAGTTCTTGAATCCCTCTCAGACGCGTTAGATGCAACAGCAGGAGTTCTTGAATCCCCCTCGGACGCGTTAGATGCAACAGCAGGAGTCCTTGAATACCTCTCAGACGCGTTAGATGCAACAGCAGGAGTTCTTGAATCCCCCTCGGACGTGTTAGATGCAACAGCAGGAGTTCTTGAATTCCCCTCAGACGCATTAGATGCAACAGCAGGAGTTGTTGAATCCCCCTCAGACGCGTTATCTGCAACACTCATTCCTCTGTCAGGAGCAATACCAGATGACAACCCACTTGTACGCAGAGAATCTGTAGTATGGGGTCTCTGAACCTCTCTGATACCGGGTTCCGCTACAATATCAAAGACAGAAACAGAAGCCCCAGCTGGTGGCACTTCATGAACGTTACCACTGGTTTGACTGGCACAACCGGTATCTATTTCGATTTTGGTATATTCAACCACAGAAACGGTACAGTCCTGGCAAAACCAATCACCTACAGGTCCAGTGGCACCCAGACCAACACAGTAAGTATGATAGGCAGAGTCACAAAGATCACAAAGTAGTAGACGGCTTTCATCTATCCTACTACGGCACACACCACATTGCACTTCCGAATATGGATGAGGAGTCTCTATTTCCCTATGGCACACCTGCAAGGGCAAGGATACGTCAAAATAAAACATGTAACAATCAGTAGATAATAAGGCTTCCAGTTTAAGCTACAGTTTGCGGACAAGGACTAGATTGACAGTCCAAAGTAATACGAATTGTCACAGATGGCACAGCAACTCTCTTAGATTTAGACATTGGGCCAAGCCAATATGTGTAATCTTGCAAATCCACAATATCATATATATCTACAAGTGCACATATCAGTTGTGCGCGTGCGCTCTTGACTGGGAGTTAAAAAGAGAATCTTAGAGAAATTAATGAATAAAATATTTACTTGGTAATAGATTTGACAATGGAAGGCATAATGTACTTGCATTACATGCAAACTTTAATAAATAATATAATAGTGTCCAACCAGCCCCGAAATGGGTAGACACGAGTTGTCTCTACAAGTGTGCAACAAGTTAATCATCCAGGGGAGAAAATTTTCCACATATATAGTCGAATTTAGGTTTCATACCTATTAATAATAGAACACAAAAATGAGAACAAGGATAGCAACTCGTACTTGCTGATTTCAACTAAATCCGAAGATCAAAAGGGGTTGTAATGGAGTTCTTAGATTTCTACAAGGTTTGAGCTAAGAAACTTAAAGCTGAGCAAAGCTTGGGCTTCACCCTAATCACATGCACTCAAATTGTATGAATTTGATGATTTTACAGCAACCAACAAAGTTTTCCCTCACATTATCTTTCAAGCAAATACCAACTTAAAAGAAGTCTTAGTTAAATTATAAACATGTCTAACAACTTATAATTTGTTTCATGTTGCACAAAGCCACTCTCATTCTTCCATCCCAAACTTTTAGCAGGAGAGAGAGAGAGATAGAGAGTGCTGGGAATTAAGTAACCTGCAACAAGGTAGAGGATGACCAAGGCAAACTTAAATAGACTTCAAATGAACCAAATCAAGCCAAATCTTCATATAAAAGTAAAAAGCTTATTCTTAAATCTTAACAAGAGCAGAACAATGAGTATTTCAAAAACTCCCATCTTGTAATAATCTAGGAATTGATTTTCATGGATTGTACATTGATCCTAGATTACACTGTTTTTTGGTCTGTTTCCTTTTTATTACTTGATTTATTTATTTGATTGGTATACGTTCATGAATGACTTTTTTTTATTGTTATTTTTATTTTTTAGTATGGTAATATGAGACCAAAAGCTAGAATACAAAGACACATAGATAGTAAAAATGGAAAAATAAAAACATTCTTGAAGAAATTAAAAGTTTGTGATTAACTCAACAATGTTCACTTGATTATCACATTTGATCACCATAATGGTCACCATCATGGTTTAGATTAAAATTTGTGAATTCCGATTTTTAACTAATATTCACAAAAATTGGATAATTAACATAAAGGCAAAAGACCAAAGTAAACAAATTAAGAAAAGGAGCAGGAAAACAAAAATAAGAAGAATGACATAAATTAGCTGGCAATCAAATAAAAAAATATAAAAATTGTGAAAAGGGCTAGATGTGAGATTTTGTCCGAGTCTACAAAGGCAACAAGAAAAATAAAATTTAAAAATAATTGTTTTAGGAAAAAATTGGCTGTCATTGAATGTGAAATCCTTCAAATATAAAGTATTTGGAGAGAAATATGAAGGAATGTGGTAAAATATGTTTGCTTTGTTTGAATATTGAGGATTGTATTGGCAAATTCCTAGGTAAAACTAGGTTGTAAGTAGAACAAAATGTCTTCGAGTCAATATATTTACAACCAAAGATTAGATTTTTACTATGGAACACATAAACCTCTAAAGCCTCTCTCTCTAATACTGAGAGACAGAGGAATAACCAGTGGGTATTTTTTATTTTTTATAGTTTTTCTTAATTTGTATTTTTTAAGTGATTACTAAATTGCCAAAAAAGTCCAGGCCCATTCTCAAAACATGAAAATTGGTTTAAGCCTAAAATAAACTCACACTCAACTTCAACCAAGTCAATTCCAAAAACCAAAACAAACCCACTACAAATCTTCACAATCAGACTATATATATATATATATATATATGTATGTATGTATAGTGTTGAGAAATTCCTGACCTGATCACGAACTGGAACGTTAACAAGGCGCTCGGTGAGAAACAATCCATCCTTTGGCGGACGACGAATAGTGGTGAACCTGCGCTTACACAGGGGGCAACGAGACTCGACCTTTGACCATTCCATGATGCAGACGAAGCAGAAGTAGTGGTCGCAGCCATCGATACACCCTCTGATAGCATTCCCATCTTCCATCAAACATATTCCACAGCAGTCCCTTTCCGAATCATCAACCGTTGATTCATCAATTCTTTTGTCCATCAAACATATTTCACAAGTGTGCGTTTCCGAATCATCAACCGTTGATTCATCAATTCTTGTGTCTTTTCCTTTGGAGAACGAGGAGGAAGGTGAGCTTAGGGTTTTGAGGCGTTTGCTGGGAGACATCTCCGGTTCGTCCAGGGTTATGGCGGCATGCTTGTGGGACGACCCTGAGGTATCTGAGTCACTCGCCATGGCTGGAGAAATCACAGGTTTTGTGGTAATTGCAGATCGAGCTGTGGTCCTACACTTTATTGAAAAACTACTGCTTTGTTTGGTAATATTGGATTTGCAAATAGAATTGAAAAAGGAATTGAATCCTAATTAAAATACTACTAGGATTCTGTTGGTTTAGTTAGCCGGAATTTAATGGTAAACAAAAAACGGAAAGTAGAGCGAATGGAGAAAAAAAAAAAAAAAAATTATTTTTATTATGTATTTAGTTAGTAAAACTTATTTTAATAAAATTGTGAAAAAATATTGTATTATTAGTCTGAATAACAATGAAAAGAAAATAATTTTACCTTAAAAACAATTTTTACAAGTTCAATATAAAGTAATATAAGCATAAAAAAAACAAAAACCTATACAATTGAGTTATTATTGCTATTTTTTTTTTTTTTTATTCTATTAGATTAGCTCACATCCTTTGTTAGGTTGGAGAAGGTGCTCTTTAGGAGAAGGTGCTAATTTAAAGAGCCTTGTAACTAATGTATCTGTTACCTAATGATTGACTACGAGGAACGGCCAATTTTTGTTTTTATTGAAATACAATTTGAAGTAAACTACTTATAACAATCATGTAAAAATGGGCGCAAATTTTCTGCGGTCTCTAATCCTGCGGTCTCATGCACTGCACTGTCGTGTTTGGTTTGGCACAACAAAAAAAGTAAACTAACGTCACAGTAAACTTAACATTAAAATGCTAACCGTAAATCAAAAAGAAAAAACAAAAAAGAAAGAAAAATCGAAAAATCAAAAAAGGAAAGTTAAAAAACACATATTTTGGCGCAACAGCTTCTTCACTTTCCCTTTCTTCCCTTTTGGTTTTCTTATTTCTCTCATTTCCTTTTCGTTTTGTTCCATTATTTCTTTTCAATTTCTTTAATTCAAACCCTAATTCGTCTCTCCTTGTTCTATAAAAAACATATTGCTTTTGAATTCCTTTTTATTCAAAGCCCTAATTCATCCCTCCTCCTTAATTTTTAATTTTTTATTATATTTTGGTGCCCCCGCTTCTTCACTTTCCCTTTCTTGCCTTTTGGTTTTCTTATTTCTCTCATTTCCTTTACGTTTTGTTCCATTATTTCTTTTTAATGTCTTAATCTAAACTCTAATTCGTCTCTCCTTGTTCCATAAAAAATATATTGTTTTTGAATTCCTTTTTTATTAAAACCCTAATTCCTCCCTTCTCCTTTATTTTTTACTTTTTTGAATCAAAACCCATATTGCACTGATTTCCTTCCATAAATTGGTGATTTCTTCAATAAGAATCTCCTTTTCATCTACGGAAAAGAAATCTACAATGGACCTAGCCTGTTAAACAAATCTACAATAGACCTTAGCTGTTATCTACAATTGACCTAATTAATGCTTGATGGTTGGTAAGTCTTAATACATGTTATTAATATTATGCATTTAATAGTATCGTTCATTTATTGTTCAAAATATAGTGACAATTTTGTTTTGAATTGAACATTGTAGATTTAGAACTGAATTTATGATTCTTTCATTTGTCATCTGTTAGTATAAATTATGATATTTTTTATTTGAAATTGACATCGGTTAAGCATTCTAGTGAATTTGAAATCTTGGATAATTGTAGGGTTTTATTTTATGATCTTCAATAAGCATTGTAATGAATCTAAAATCTTCCATAATTGATTTTTTGAACTGAGTTGGTTTCATTAGGTACCAATGTGTTATCAAAAAAATTTGGTATTAAATGTATGCGGCAATTACACATTTCATAGGTTATTATTTGATATTTATGAGAAAAAAATATTGCGAAATTTAATAAATTGGCACACTGATCATCTTCACCATAAAAATAAGGTATTCACACAGTGCTAACTAACTAATATCACTCATAAATGTAAGAATTTATGATTCTTTCATTTGTCATCTGTTAGTGTAAATTATGATATCTTTTATTTGAAATTGACATTAGTTAAGCATTCTAGTGAATCAGAAATCTTGGATAATTGTAGGGCGTTCTTCTATAATCTTCAATAAGCATTCTAGTGAATCTAAAATCTTCCATAATTGATTTTTTGAACTGAGTTGGTTTCATTAGGTACCAATGTGTTATCCAAAAATTTTGGTATTAAATATATGTGGCAATTACACATTTCACATGTTATTATTTGATATTTATGTGAAAAAAACATTGCGAAGTTTAATAAATTGGCACACAGATCACCTTCATCATCAAAATAAGGTATTCACACAGTGCTGACTAACTAATTTCACACATAAATGTAAAAATTTGTGATTCTTTCATTTGTTATTTGTCATATGTTATTGTAAATTATGATATTTTTAACTTGAAATTGACATTGATTAAGCATTCTAGTGAATCTGAAATCTTGGATAATTGTAGGATTTTCTTCTATAATTTTCAATAAGCATTGTAGTGAATCTAAAATCTTCTATAATTGATTTTTTGAATTGAGTTGGCTTCATTAGGTACCAATGTGTTATCAAATTTTTTTTGTATTAAATGTATGTGGCAATTACACATTTTCTCAGGCCAGTTTTGAAATAACAACATAATAATATGTTCAATTGACTTATATTTATGAGTGACATTTTTTATTCGGCACTATGTGGATACATTATTTTGAGGGTGAAAGTGGTGAGTGAGCAAGTGGCAAATAATATCAAAGTTTGTAAATTTATTTTCAAAGTTACACCATATGACTTCAACCATGGTAGTTAAAATTTTTTTTGGATACTCTATTTTTTGTTAGGTACTCTTATTTTTTGGCCCTTTTCATTATTTCGGTCAATATTTAGTATTTTTTTTTTTGTTGTCACAAGTTATATCAACTGACTTTAACCTTCTGATGGACCTTTTGCTTCTTGTAGCATTCATACTTAAGTTATCCAACTGGAAGACGACTTACGCACTAATGATGTGAGAATGAGCGTTCCAATCGTTGTCGAAATCAATATTACCGAAAACTTAGCACCAGAAGTTGTCAATTCCATTGAGATAGAATTCACACCAAAATTGAACATGCAGTTTGACACTGAGGATCAAACATACGACTTTTACAATGCTTATGGGGGAAAGTTGGATTCAGTATTCGTAAGAATTGTGCAAATAAAAGCCGTAAGATAGGAAATATTACAATAAGTAAGTTTATGTGTTCCAAATAAGGTTTTAGGGTGAAGGACAAGAGGGATATCCATACAAGAAAGCCCAAGGCTGAAACTCGAACCGGTTGTGGTGCACTGATGCAAATTAGATATGACCCGCAAGAAGGGAAAATATGTTGTATATAATTTTGTAGAATCTCATTATCATCCTATGATAATTGAAGAATGCACACATATGATGACATCACAACGAAGAATAAGTGTTGCCTAAGCAATTGATGTGGAATTAGCCTGCCAATCTGGAGTTCCGCTCGGTAATGCATTTGAGTTAATGAGCAAGCAGGCTGGTGGGAGGCAATCAATTGGCTACACCAAAGATGATCAATTTTTTTTTCTAAGGACCAGAAGACAAAGTGAGTTAGAATACGGAGAGAAGATGTGGCTAATGAATTATTTCAAAATTCAATCTTGTGAGAATCCTTCATTTTTCCACACCGTGCAGTTGGATAGCGATGAAATGATAACTAATATCTTCTGGGCAAATTCGAGAATGATAATCGATTATGGGCATTTTTGGAAATGTCATCACATTCAACACGACATACAAGTTCGTCCAAAGCAACCGTCCTTTTGCGGCTTTTCTTTGTCTAACTCATCATCGGGAGACTGCTGACTTTGGACTAGCATTGATGTATAACGAGACTGCCAATTCATTTGCGTAGCTGTTTGATTCATTCTTGAATGCAATATCAGGTAAAAGCTATAAATGTAATATTTTTTTTACCTTCTTACAATGATTTTGTTCATCCAATATATACATATGTTTTAAGCCATTAATAATTGAACATAGCCATTTTTTTTTGCCCTTTTTATGTGAATTACTTTTTGAAATGGAGATATTTTATTAGGGCATAATTTTTAATGAAAGTTTCATATAATATATGTATTATATTATTTTATTCTTGCCTTTAAATTTTTTAATAATTTGAAAATATTAGTAATGATGTATGATAAGATTGCCTATTCATTTACATGCCTTTTTGATATATTCTTGAATGTGATGTTAGGTAAAGCTCCATAAACGATTCTTACTGACCAAGATGGTGCAATGGCAAAGGCGTTGGCACAAGTTATGCGGAGGACGAGACATCTACTTTGCACGTCGCACATTATGGCAAATGCACAGAAGCATGTAGGCATCATTTTTAGGAATGATGAAGGGATTAAAAGTGTGCTGAGTCAATTCATGTACTGTTATGATGATGAGGATGATTTTTGTATATAATGGGATGTAATGTTAAGGGACTATAATGTTGTTGGTAACACATGATTGAACAATTTGTTTGGTTTGAGAGAAAAATGAGGCTATCCATTTATTAAACATTGGTTCACTGCTGGAATGCAGACGTTGCAGTTGAGTGAAAGTCTAAATAGCTGCTTGAAAGAGTACTTAACCAGGAAAATGAGTATTCCGGATTTCTTCATGCACCTTGACAGTCTATTGTCGGATAAACGCTACAAGGAATATTAAGCTGAGTATAGTTTACTAAGTAAGTTACCTAGACTTAAACAAAATTGTCCAATTCTAAAGTAAGTGGGCAATATGTACACGTTAAAGATTTTTTAACTTTTTCAGGACCAATTCATAGAAGCTTGTGTGGTTACTACCGTGGAAGGAACAACTTTAGATGAAAATGGATTACATGTTTCTAGAGTATTTGTTCATGATGGCAATATGGATCAGACTATGACAAGGTGGGATGATGGCTTTCTAAGTTGTTAATGTGGGAAATATGCAATTGAGGGTATTTTATGCAGCCATGTGCTTAAAGTACTGAAAGACGACACTCATTATTTGAAAGAATTACCTTCTATGTATATACTAAAAAAGTGGACGAGAAAAGCTGGGGATAGCAGCGTACAAGACATCCGTGAATGTGAAGTTATTGCTGATCCTAAACTTGAAGTACGTAAAAGGTATAGGATGTTATGTCATTTTTTTTTTACAGAAATCAGCTCATTTGCATCCGAGAAAGAAGTGGTATTC